TTCAGCAGGGCCCTGGCCTGCTGCCCACTGGGACAGCCCCAGGGAGGGCCCTATCTCCTACAGCTCGAGCGCCGGCCCCCCAGAGCACGTGCTGACTGAGGGTCTGTCCCGTGCCCTGTTTATGGAGCTCTGTCGCTGTCACCGGAGAAGGTTCTCACCCCTGAGCACCTGCAGGGAGCCTTCGTAGGTTGCAGGAACTGTGATAAATAAAAGTTGTTTTGGGGACATGGAGTCTGATCGCTGCCTCCAGAGGGGCCCAGGAGAGGCCCAAGTGGGCTGCTGTGGGGGCACCCGGTGGTGGGGGTGGCCAGCAAGGCGGGAGCCATAGGGTCCCTGCCCTCCCAAGGTCGGAGCCCCATGCATCGCAGCGCCAGGGCCCTGGGCACATGGCCTGGCCTTCTCGACCCTTCCTCTTGCCAGCCTGAGGCTCAGCTCCTGGTCGGTGCTCCCAGCCAGCCTTGTGTGGGGAGAGCGTGGTTCTCTTCTGTGGATTAGAAGGTTCTAGGTTTTCCAGCCCACACTAAGCACCTGCCATGGAGGAGTCAGACAGCTGCCTCCCTGCCCCACTGGGGATGCCTCCATCAGGGCCCTGGGGCTGTCAGGATAGAGACCAGGCTCTGGTGGCATCAGGACCCAGGCCTGAGCCCTCTTGGGGGCAGGTTCTTTCTATGTTCCTTTTGCCTAGAGGTGATGGGTGGCATCCCTGCATGCGTGTGTGCGTGTACATGTGTGTGTGCATGTGTGTAGAGCCCAGGGCTGTACAGGACAAGTGCACGTCCATGCCTCCCCAAAGCCCACACCTGCCCAAAGGCTGGTAAAGCAGAGACTGCCGGTGAGCAGGCATGTGGCTGGGCAGCTCCAGCAAGCCTGGCCTCCGGGACACAGTGCGGCCTGGGCCGGGTTGTGACAACATGACCCATGTATGTGCTTGGAGGTGGTCCCTCCGGTCTCTGAAGTAGAGACAGGGACAGCAGGAGCCTGGGAGCCTAGAGCTTTAGATGGCGGCGGGCAGGAAGAAGGGTGGCATTTAGGTGGCGTGAGATAAATGAGCAGAAGTCACCAGGGCACTGATGCCGGACGCCTGTCCCACGTGGCGTGGAAGCCAGCATCCAGGAGGGCGGCAGGGCTGGCTCGGCCCTTGTTCTCCAGAGCAGAGCGGCCGTCACCCTGGCTACACGGCCAGCCTGGGCCCTGCTGTCCTGGGCAGCACGGAGGGCAGGCAGGCAGGCACCATACCTGGAGAGCCCTTGGGTCTCCCAGTCAGTCGAGTGACGCAGCACGAGGCAGGTGCTGGACCAGAGCCGGGCTTCGTGGCTGGCCTCGTGTGCCTGCAAGGGTGGTCCAGGCCTGCAGTGAGGTGGGACATGGAGCCAGGCACTCCAGCACCCCCACGCCAGCAGAGTCCTGAGGGCAATGTGGGCCTGACCAGGCAGCCCCTGGGGTGGCCCTGTGTGCAGATGACCGAGCTGGGGCAGGGGCAGGGGCTTGTGCCAGGCAGCTTGACGTCCATCACAGACCAGATAGGCCCTACAGCCCCCAGGGACCTTCTGCCCAGCTGAGCATGGGTGCTGGGGCAGAAATGCCGGTTCTGCCAGCAAGAGGACAGTGCAGAGCCCGGGAGAGTCCCTGCAGTTGCCCCTTATCTGCCCTCGGCTGAGCCTCCTAGGACACAGACATGAGCAGGAAGGAGGCAGTATGGCCGTGCAGGAGGTGCCTGGGCAGCAGGCTGGCAGAGGGTGAGGCTGTCCTCTAGCCTCAGGACTGCTCTGTCCATCCTGCCAGCATTACAGCCTGCCTGGCTGGCTGGTGGAGAAGGGGGGCGCCTCACTGGCCCTGCCCCTGGGTTCTCTCACTCCGACTGGGAGTGCTCCCTCCCTCTCTAGCGGGTGCAGCTGCCCCCCATAGCCCCATTCCCACTACTCAGTTCCTAAGGCCTTTAGGGTAAAGCCTCAGTGAGTGCTTTAGTAGTGACGCTGCTGGCCAGGGCATGCCACTGGGCCACGTCGACACCTGGACGCCCCACCCTGCCCTCTTCCCTCCCAAGGATCTGGACCCTGCACAGCCAGGGCTGAACCCGCACAGGACTTCAGACTTCAGACTTGCATGGGCCAGAGGAATGGGGGCTGGGAAGTAGCGTTTCCTCCCTGGCGCCCCCAGTTGGCCACTTGCCATACTTACAAGAGAGTAGGGAAGGAATGGGAAGGTCACCCTGGGCTCCGTGGGACATGCTTCCCTCCCGGCGTAGTAGGGGTGTGGTCCTAGCTGCCCCTCTCCTTCCTTGTCTCTGGGGTAATTGGAGACAGGATCCTAGGATGGCGCCTGCTCACTCTCCTGGGCACCAACGTTGCCCCCAGCATAAGACCTCAAGGAGCCAGGGATCAACTTGGCTCCAGAGAAAGGTGGCAGAGAAGGCTGAGGCCATGAGCAGTCACCCCTGTTGGCAGGGCAGGGAGTGGGGACACTGGCGGCGGTCATGCTGCGTCCGCGGGTGGACGTGTCAGGGCAGGGTCTTGTTCTGTCTTTAGCCATCGTGGTCCCAGAGCAGCCTCATCTGGTGGGTCCGCTGCTGGCCCTGGGGCGGACACCCAGACCATGCTAAGGTCCCAGGCCGGCTGCCAGGCCTGTTTTCTCCCTCCCATGCGTCTTTCCTGTTAGTCGTGGCCTTAGAGTTGAAGTGCATTCTGTCGTGTTCATTTCAAGCACCGCAGACACCAGCTCTAGCCGGTGGACAGAGGGAGCAAAACTTGAAAATGCCCTTTCCTCGCTCAGGTTTGACCCTGGGGTGGCCCTAATTTCTGTGGCTATGCAACTGGCACTGGGACAGGGACCGAGAGGCATGGATACAGGGCTGTGGGCCCAAAGTGAGGGCAGGGATCCCCATTGTTTTCCTCCTTGCTCTCACTGCTTTTCCTGGGACAGTCCCAGTTGGGCAGGTGTGCCAGACTTCTGGGAGGAACCTGTCTTTCTGGCCAGAGAAGCACAGAAGAGCCCCAGGATTTTGAGGTGAATTTCGGACAGGAGAGAGCTGCGAGGCAGGCCCCTACTTCTCTGCACGTGCTGACAGTCCCAGCATACCCCTACACAGTGGTGTGTGGGCAGACCCACATCAGCACGGCAGAGGGCAACAGGTGCCCTGACCCTGGACTCACACTCACAGAACTAGTGGTCAGGCTTCACGGGGTTGCTTGCTGGTGACAAAAGATGACATCTAAAGTGAGGTTTTAACATCACCCGGAGACCTATAACATCACATTCAAAGTACTGATTGAGGGAACCGCCATCTTCCAGTAATTCACCAAAATGACGAACATGGAGGAAAGAGGAGAGGCCCCCGTTACCTGTTCTCTAGGCCTTTTAGAAAACATGCAGTGGTTCCTTTGGCAACTACATGCGAATCTGTAAGAAAGGTGATAGTGTAGACATCAAGGGACTGGATGGGTACTGTTCAAAAAGGAGCGCCCCACAAATGTGACCGTGGCACAGTGGGAAGAGTCTACAGTGTCACCCAGCATGCTGTTGGCATTGTTGTAAACAAACAAGAGCAAGATTCTTGCCAAGAGAATTAGTGTATGCATTGGGCATGTTAACCACTCTAAGAGCAGAGACAGCTTCCTAAAACATGTGAAGGAAAATGACCCGGAAAGAAGGAAGCCAAAGAGAAAGGGACCTGGGTTCAGCTGAAGCGCCAGCCTGCTCCACCCAGAGAAGCACACTTGATGAGAAACAATGGAAAGGAGCCTGAGCTTCTGTTTGTTTTCTTTCTTTTTTTTTTTTTTTTTGGAGAGGTTTTTGCTGTAGGGCGCATGAGCTCGCCAGACAGAGAGACAGAAAGCGAGAAATCACCCCCCAAGGAGAAATGGCCACGCCGCAATCCCTTCTCTCGGGATCTTGGGCGCGTGCGCACACACACACACACGCGCGCGCGCACGCCCGGTGTGAGTTTAAGCCACCGGGTCCAGGACTCGAATCGCGGTTGACGACATGGGAGTTCAGCGACATAGCCATTACACTAACTGCTGGTCATGGAGCCTGAGCTTCTGGAACCTATTTCTCATGAATTCTTGGCATGGTGGGTGATAAACTCTGGGGCCAAGAGGTGGCATGGTGGTTAAGGGCTCTGGAGTTTCACATGGCCGACCACAGTTTGAATCCTGGACCTGGAGGTTTGCTTTCTAACTTTCTCTCTGGCTCTGGCTCTGGCTCTGTTCCTCCTAGTCAAATTAAAGTTGATTTTTTTTAAAGCTGAGGTGTGTCATGGCATGTTCAGGGAAGCTATGCTCTAGACTCTATCTCCTAGACTCCCGAAATATTCAGACAGGGTAGGGTGACCTTCATCTTTTCTGTCTCTGGCTGTCTCTCTGTCTCTCGCTGTCTTTAAATTTTTACATTTTTTAAAAAAAGTTTTCAACCACATCTCACCTTGGGCCTTTTCTTTCACTTGCTAATTTCAGAAGCCATTTTAAAGCTGAGGTGTGTTCTGGTGCTAGCACGCTGCACGGTTTTCATTTTTTACGTGTTAAAAACTTTTTCCCCTCTTTTTTGGCCCCTTATTTTTCTAGACTTTTTTTTTTTTTTTTAACCTTACTCTCTCACTCTAAGCTTCACTCTCCTCACACCAAATGTCTAGATAGGCCTAGGTACACAGTAACCAGGCATCTGAATACTTTGAGTCATTGAAATCCTCACCACTTATTGAACCTCCTGCTTTAATGAAGAAATTTATTTTCATAAATCTGAACTCCTAATCTTTCTGTGGATACCACATTGCAAAGCACAGTGCAGGATAGATTTTGTCACAGAATGATCAGGAACAACCACAGAGGCATGAGAAACATGAGACATCAAGAAAATATCACCCCCTAAGGGAAAAGAACAATGCTTCATCACCCACAGACAGTACAGTAGATCTCATGGAAATGTTTCATAGAGAATTCAGAATATTCGTAGTGACAAAACTAAACAAGATGCAAGAGCTGAGAGACAATGAACTCCAGAAGATGCAGGAGAAAAGAGTTTCAGGAGGTATTGAAGTTCTTCCATGATCTGAAAGAGGAAATACACAGCATAAAAAAGAATCAGATGGAGCTATCAGAGATGAAGGATGCCGCTCAGGAAATCAAAACCTCCCTCAAAAGTATTAAAAAGCAGGTTAGTCCATCTTAGATATTGAAGACAAAACCTCTGATCTAGAAAAAACAACCAAAAAGACTGAAAATAACCCACAA